TTCCCATCGGGCACATGCTGTCCAGGAGAAAGGTGTCGTACTAGGGCTTCTTCCAACCCAAGCTTCTGCAAAATCTTCCATGCGCGTGGCCAAAAGGTGATACCCGCCCCGACCTGTGTCAGTTCGGGTGCTGACTCGTATATGTCAACCTCGATGAAATTTTCAAGGTCAAGGCGGCTGAGTGCCACAGCCAATGTCAGACCCCCAATGCCTCCGCCACTGTTTGGTTCCATAATCAGTAAACGAAAAACCAAAACTATAAGATGGCGTACACTATCCCATACGAAGAGGCATCTTGAAGTGTGAAGCAGAGACGAATTTTCTCATGCAATTGCTGGGTATCATCAGGTTCATCATGACCAGAATATCGCTGCTGTCCGTGTCGTGGTGGATCAAAGACGAAACCCACGAGAAAGGTCAAAATGTGACTCGGACCGGCTTAGTCCGACGTCGTTTGACAGTCCAACCACCTTGGCTCTTGACTCTGCTCTTCATCAAGTTCGAACGCGCTCAAACCTGAAGTATATTCGAGCTCCATTATCTCACGTGACTTGGTCTTTCTCTACCGAATGGTGTGACAATTCTTTCGCTGGAATCTTTCTCGATATCAAAGGCACAATCTTGCAACAGCGATACCATTACTCATCTTGGAACACTTCAATATCTGGGAGTCTGGTGCCAATATATATATCTACCTCTTTATTCTGGAAATACCCATCGATCTTCATTCTAAGCTCTCCGTTCAAAGTAAAAGCGACTCGAACCTAGGAAGAACAAGTCTTTGGAGTCCCTGTCTCTCTGATTTAATGACGCTTCTTCTGCTTGAACGAACGTGCTTTTCTCCCTCATTCAAGGTCGTTAAAGGTCAGGAGTTATCAGCATGGTAAGCTTTCTTCCGACGCTCGTGTACCGACTTATCTTTAAAAATAGTTTGCTGATCTTCGACTAAGTATCTCTTGGCGCGGTCAGCAGTCGTTAAAGACCGAGAGGGCAACATACGGGCCCACAGCTTTAATTATCGATAAGTATACAGATCTCATGGCAATTCTCAGATAACGTTGATGTCCACGCGCTTCATTTAGAAGGAAGCAACCGCCGATGCCATGGCTCTCACTGGACAGAAATCAGCCTGGAGCAGCCTTGAACATCTAAGAACGTGTCCTCTCCCAAGGCCCACTGAATTTGATGGTCGATCTCTAGTAAAAGAATATATAAGACCCATGCTTCTTATCTACTGCTCACACATTCCCAAAAATGCGTCTCTTGGTTCTTGCTGTCGGCGCCGCCGTTCCTGCTGCACTGTCTGTGCCGTTGGTCGGCAGAGCACTTCCAACACCCGTCAGCGGTGCAACAGCCAGACAATATCTCTCGGAACGTGGGTATCCGACTTATTTATAATGTTTCCCTCCGACCTTTTATTCTTTAGTCGTTGTTGCTGTCGATTCCAACTCTCCTGCCTATAGTCGCGACCTGTTCAAGACCTGGGATATCAGTTAGTATTCGCCGTCTTTAGGGATTAAATCAACTGACTGTAAATTATAACAGTCACCGGGAAATGCGACACTAGAGAAGGTTTGTCGTCCAGAATTTGGTTTCTATAAAGGTACCCATTCTGCCGGATAGTGGTCTTAATGCGAGATGGCACGGACGTCGTTACCAATAGTGATTGTGCGGCCGTCTCAGGAAACTGGGTCTCTCCGTATGATGGAGTACCGACCACCCTTTCCAGTGATCTTGACATTGTGTGTATATCTTTCGTTCAACTAAACATTTTCTAATTTCATTATACAGGACCATCTTGTTCCGTTGAAGGAGGTATGCACACCACCGAATCTTATATATGTTATCCTAAAATGGACTTCGATTCAGGCATGGCTCTCTGGTGCTCGGAATTGGACACCTGCTCAGCGGGAGGCGTACGCAAACGATCTCACCCGTCCTCAACTCGTAGCCGTCACTGACAAGTACGTGGTTATACTTATTGAGGTCACGAATACCACTAACTGTTCCTGCAGCCTTAATGAATCGAAAGGTTAGTTTCCTATTTCCACTATCTTAAAATATTCTCAATTGGAACTCAAACATATCTAGGGGACAAAGGTACCACATTCAATTAACTTTGCAAAATTTATACACTAATCTTTGTCAATTAGATGTGGCTCACTGGCTTCCACCACTTAGCAGCTACGTTTGCACGTATGTTCGCGCATGGGTAACGGTCAAGCACTTCTATAACTTAACAATCGACACCGCCGAGCAAGCTGCGCTTCAGACACAATTGGCTAGCTGTTAGGAAACTTTAGTTAAATTATAAATGGAGATTCATCTTACATGAAGACGAATGAGATGAATGTGCTGGATGGTCTTAAATTAGAGTTAACAAGTCAGAGAATAGTGACGATTAATTGCGGGCATATTTGAATTACAGAAAAGCAGTGGGTATTGTAAGTAATGCGTGCAGTAATCCCGCAATCTAGCAACCATCCATTGTAGAACCAATCCACCTAAGCACCAATGTTGACAGGGCTGCAGTCGACACCAATCAACTGGTCTAGTAAAAATAAGTTTAGTATCAGCATACGCAAATCTAAACGAAAATAGCGAAGCATACTGAAGAAGTTCTGCTGGCAGCAGACAGGGGAGGTAGCGCTAACAAGGTCCAGTCAATACAAGTTTCCAGTCGCATAAAGAAATCGGGCGACATACCAGTTAGCACCAGTACCAGCACCAACGCCAGTAACAGCAGTGCACCCAGCACCGACTTGGGCAACAACGTCCTCGACAGCAACACCAACGAGGGAGAGGAGCTGAGTGGCAGCGGCCGTCTCAGGGGCCTGGAGAGAATTGCAGCATAGGACGGGGCCGCTGTTGCAAGAGTCGAAGACGGGAGGGGTGAGAGGGGAGGCCATGACGGTAGCGACGAAGGCGGCAACAAAAAGAGTGACTTTGGAGAACATTCTGAAGCTGAATGAGTGCGTGTACGTAGTTTAACTTGTTGGTTGGTGTGTTGAACGACGAGGGATGTGTTCGACTGAGGGTGAATGCGCATAGGACTACCTTTATATATCTAATGATATCCAGGGTCGTCGATGTTGGAGCTGACCGCTCGACAGGGTTGTCAGATTCATCCCGGACATGAAATCAGACGACTCAAGGAAGAGCCCCAACCGAAGTCCCCACAACATAAAACGAGAATCAATGTTACTTATTTGAGATATGTTTGTTTACCGAGTTGCTTCTAGCTCCCCGAAGCGAATGATGAATGATGCCAAGCGCGCCCCACTATGGTGGTCCTCGCTTCTTTCGGCTTCAGACATAAGCCAGAGATTTTAAAAATGCATCCGTGGACCAAGCGTAGTATTGTTCAAAGCCGTTGCAGAGTCTTCGAACTTCTTCCTCCAAGTGGCGTGTACTTCTCAGCCCATTGAACCGTTGAACCGAAAAGTTGAACTGAGAACCAAAGAGAGCTTTGCCTGATTGGGATAAAGTGTTACCAAATCGTCCCGAAACTGGGGCGGTCCTCACTCATCTTGAACTTGGTCACTCGCTGTTTGCAGAAACGAAAAGAGGCGGTATGCACAGGTCGTGTCCTGTAGCACACTATCCACCAGCATAACTGAATATAGCTTCCCGAAGTACTGTAGCTTGGTACATTCAAAGCATTGAAAGGCTGATAAACATCAGGACATGCAGGGTCTCGAGAAGCGTGGGTTCAATTTGATGTTCATTTTGAATTTTAGAAGCCTCGAGATGGGACAACAAGCGACAAGCCTGTCATGCACTTTTTTTGAATGTCGGTATTGGGTGACATAATAGGTTTGATATTGACATCGACAGTTTTTCTTCATGGTGCCACATCGACTAGAATTTGTTCAAAATTTGACGCGTTCCTGAAATACAGTTGTACATGGGCGGCTTCAAATTGTGTACGGATGAATTGAGCGACCCAATGAATATTATCTGAACCTGGTTTTGGGGTTTGGGCCCTCCAGATTCATAGCTAACGTCAAGAAGCGAAAAGCGCCCTCACGGACATGCATGTTTCGATGAGCGGCGATGAAACTTCATAACAGAGAGCCGGTAGCAACCCATTTTCAAAGGCACTTACGTTTACAAAGAGGCTTTTTCGAAGTCCCTTCCTTCCGAATAACATGCATAACCTCCTTATTCGGCAAAGAACCACCAAATCGTGAATGCATACATACGCCTCTATGCTGGATCTCTATTCGCATCCCCTGTGCATACAGCCCACGGAAAAAGGTATAAATACCGTCCCAAAGCTTTTCATCTCCCCAGTCAAGTCGCACTTTCAAAAGCCTTCGCCTTCAGCACCGCTACCAAAGCCAACCAAAAGCCAAAGATGTTCTCCAAGCTCGCTCTCTTCATTGCTGCTGCCTTTGCCGCCTCCGCTGTTGCTGGTCCCATCACCGACTCCTGCAACACCGGCCCCGTCCAATGCTGCGACTCGCTCAACGCTCCAAACTCTTCTTCCGTCGCGGATGTGCTTGGCCTCCTCGGCGTCGTTGTTGGTAGCCTTACCGGTCAAGTTGGCCTCCAGTGCACCCCCATCACTGGTATTGGTGCTGGTGTTGGCGCTAACTGGTGTGTTTGTTTCATTTACAACCTTTATTCCGAAGTTTTTGCTGATAAATTTTGACAGCGCTTCTACCCCTGTCTGCTGCGACAAGACCTTCGACAGTACGCTTAGCCTTTGTACTTTATTTTCATTCTTAGCAACGGATGCTGACTTTTTATTTAGACCAGCTCGTTGGCATCAACTGCACCCCCATCACCATCAACGCTTAATTATTTTTATCGCCGTTTTATTGCCCTTGTTAATGCACTTGTACCTTTTTAATGAATACCTCGTGATTCGCCTTATTGTTGAACTATGAAGTGTTCAAACCGCCCTTCAGCCTTGTGCAATTATTTGTGGCCCGGCGAACAAGGTTCTACAGGCCTCTGTGATTGAGGTGGACAGGGAATTTTAAGAAGTAATCACACCGGTGGTGAAGTGGTTATCATGCTTGCCTTCCATAGACAATAATAGAGGTGGTTATTGATATAAGCAAGCGGCAGGGGTTCGATTCCCCTCCGGTGTATACGTCTTTGATAACGACGATATTTTGCCATTACGTTGTGAATTTGTCTTTTTTCCACCCATAAATGCCTCAATCAATAATGACGTGCGTACAGTTGCAACGGCCGTGGTTGGTGAGGCGATGCGTTGTGGGAGAGATTTGTCATCCGAATATGGAGCGAGAGCTGGCCACGAGTGTTGCGGAAACTCTCTTTCTTTCCAACGTGAATGGTTCCTGTTCCTATACCTGTCCGCAATTCTCATATCTCGCGTCTCCTTTATATCCTTTTCTCACTCGCTACAAACTATGCGCCACGCATTTTTCGCCGTTCAAATGACGGCCTCAATGCCACCGACAACGCTCTGCACACCCTTGTGCGGCGAGAGAAGTTCGACCCCGATGACCCCAAGTCAATCGCCTTTGCAGTCCTTATACCCGTCCTTGTCCTCTTGTCGGGTCTGTTTGCCGGTCTGACATTGGGCTATATGTCTCTTGACGAGACCCAGTTGCATGTACTCAGTATCAGTGGCACTCCGTACGTGTTCTGCCATATCTCGGCCGTCTTGCCCTCTAGCTAACGTTATAACGTTCTCTGGCATCAGTAAACAGCGGGAATATGCAAACAAGATTATGCCAGTTCGCAAGAACGGCCACTTGCTACTCGTCACGCTCCTCCTGGCAAATATGATTGTCAACGAAACTCTCCCTGTCATAGCAGATCCAGTTCTGGGAGGAGGCTTCCCCAGTGTAGTTGTATCTACCGTCCTCATTGTTATGTGAGTAAGCCCTATCTGATAAGCACGGGCCACTCTATTTTCGCCCTCCTTTCCTTTCCGTGTCCTGGGAGATAAGATGACCGTGGTTAGGTCTATTCGCTACCGTTGCTTATAAGGAAATTTGGCCGTTCCTTTTTCTCTGTATAAAGCTCGACTCGCCACTCAACGCCTGCGGCTTGGAGCTATATGACGTCACGCGACATTGCCCCGACTTCTTTCGCCCACACGCTCGTGATACCCCATAACCACGTTGCTGCACGACTTTTTTACAGTTGACTTCGCCTATCATCCTTCTTTTGCCCGCTCACACATTTCTCTAGCTTTGCCGAAATTATCCCTCAATCGCTTTTCACCCGCCATGGAATGTACCTCGGTGCAAAGATGGCTGGGTTCACGAGATTGTTGATATTATCCTTTGTAAGTTTGTCTTTCATTAATTTAGCGGACATAGGTTCTGATGCTATTCGAATTTGACTGTCGTCATAGGGTATCCTTGCATGGCCTGTAGCTAAACTCTTGGAATTTGCGCTTGGACCCCATCATGGTATCATTTACCGTCGAGCAGGTCAGTGTTGGCATGGCTGTAAAGTTTTCAGCCCTCATCCCCTTAATAGAACTCAAAGAGCTCATCGCCATGCACTCCTCCCATGCCACACATGGTGGCGACCTTAAGAACGACACAGTCGCCATCATCGGCGCAACTCTCGACCTTCAAGAGAAGGTCGTCAAGCAGGTCAGCAACCATTCATCTCTCCATCTACCTAATTAACCCTATTTCAATATTTCTAGGCTATGACGCCCATCGAACAAGTATTCATGCTGTCCATCGATTCCAAATTGGACTACGCTCTTTTGAAGAAGATATGTCAGACTGGACACAGTCGCGTGCCGGTGTATGAGGAAGTTGATGTGCCGGTCTCTGTAGTGGCGGCGGGCACAGATACCCCTAATGATGACAAGTCGAAGCAGAGGACTGTCAGGGTGAAGAAGATCATTGGCATCTTACTCGTGAAGCAGTGTGTTTTACTTGATCCAAAGGGTATGCCGTACTTTTTTGCTTTGATTTTTCAACGATGAGGTTGTCTCACTATCGGCTTCTAGATGCGACGCCGTTGCGCAAGATACCCCTCAACAAGGTTCCTTTTGTCCCAAACAACGAGCCTTTGCTCGGGATTTTGGACAAATTCCAAGAAGGACGAAGTCATATGGCCATCGTAAGCCGATTCAGCGTTGAAAAAGTACGCTTTTCCAATGCCAGCTCATTTCACACGTAATATAGTCTCATTTTATTTTAAAGGCGGCCTCTGTAAAGAAAGCTGTTAAGCTCGGGCTGACCCAACGTCTCCGCAAACGTGTTGGAATGGGTGACTCCTCAGACTCGGATACAGACTCGAGCGACGATGAAAGCCATGGTCATAGTTCCGGGACCAACGAACGCGGTACTGCTAACCAAAGTCCTACGGACTCTTATCCCAAGAAACGCCGTCGTCGTCGGAGGTTGATGAACGGGCTCATACGAAAGAGTTCGCATGACTCTGACTCGGAGGCTGGGACTGTTAAGGGCGAAGCTGAGAACGAGAATCACGTCACTCCGTCTGAATTAGAGAAAGGCAGTGGAGGCCATAATGCGAATGGAGACGATAGGGTGATTATCACTGCTGAACCTCCTTCTGCCACCGAGAAACAAGGAGGCGGTGGAGGTATAACTGGAGCGGCCAGGAGGAAGAATGAAGAGGGGAGGAAGAGTTTGAGCAAGATTACGGCTACGGCTTTGCAGTTGCCCAAGTTGACGACGGGCTTGTTGGAACAACGCGAGCAGAGTATGCCTGCTGATGCCGTTTTGGCGAAGGAGGGTGCTGCCGAGGTAATTATTCTTCTCCTTTTCATTGGAAAAGAGAACAGGAGCTAATCATGTGTCTTTTTGTCTAGTTTTTGCAAGGCTTTGATCCGGCTGTTATGCCCCTCGGAATCATCACTCTCGAAGACGTTCTGGAAGAACTAATCGGAGAGGAGATATACGACGAATTCGATACGCAAGGTGCCCATGGCGATCCTTACGAGGTTCCTCCTCCCGTGACCATCACCGACACGGACGCCAATACTACTATATCCCCGGTTTATTCGACGACGGATACCACCAGCAACGTCAACGCAAGTACCACAATGAGACTCTCTGCTCCTGTGCCCACCAAATCAGCTTCCGCGTTGGCTGGTCAGATTGGCATGCCAAACGCATTGAAGGGTTTGGGCTTTTTCAGGACAAGGAGTGCGCCGCCTGTTCCAAGGGAGATCGAAAGGCAAAGTGGGGTCGATACGCCTCATTCTGCTGTTCAGGCTCACCAAACTTCCAGTGGTTCGGCAAGTACTACTACCGTGAATACCAACACCAACACGAGCACCACCAAGACGGTCCGCATAGACGACGGGAACACTGTCGCGCCTATTCAGATGCCCAAGCCGATTAGGAGTACGGGACGACACCCCCCCTCTGTCATTCTGGAGCAGCATAGTAGCGTGTCGTCCTCTGAATCTGGGGTGGGTTACTCGTTCGCTTCCTTGCCTACTGCCTCGGCTTCTGCAGCAACTGGAGCGGAGGAGAAGACTAAGTCTTTGCCTACTGCTTCTTCTATTCTCGCTTCTGCCGGTGCACCTTCAATTCCAACTGCCCAGTCACAGCCATCATCGCAGCCCCAGTCGGTTCCATCTTCCCCATCCCCGGTCGTGATACCTACTACTGCAACCAATAGCACCAGCGCACAAGTCTCCCCAGCCCCCGCTGTGCAAGTGCACAAGATTGACAAATCCCCTTCGAGGAGCGGGTCGCCTTCTCCGGCTCTCGAAGCCATCTTGTTGGACCGCAAACGGAGGATGGCGGCTGCTGGAGGAGGAGGGAGCGGCAACGTCACTGCTGCACCCAGTCCTGCGCCCAGTGTGGCTTTGGTGAACCCCTCGGGTGTGGTTATACCTATACCGTCAAATGCTTCTGGAGGTGCTGCGCCTACTTCTATTGCTGTTGGTGGTGGTGGAGCGTCTGTTAATAGTGGTGCGGCGGCGGCTGCATCCACTTTGCGCTCGGGGAACGTGTCTGCTAAAGGGACGCGATTCAAGAGCAGCCCTCTTGGTGGTGGTGAGCGTGCTGGGGTAGTCGTCGCTGAGCAGGTTGGGGCGGCGTATAGTAAGGAGAAGGAGAAGGCTGGTGAGGATACCAATACCATGGGGGTGAATCAGGCGCAGAGTCAGAGCCAGACACCAAGTCAGGGTGATGCGAAGGAGGACAAGGAGCGGATACCGAGCGAGATAGATAAAGCTGGTCCTGATAAGGCTTGAGCTGGGGTGCTTGGTGCCTGAACGACTTTGTTTGATGGAGGAGAACTACCCGATACCTTTGCTGATTTTTGAAGATTCTTTTTGCTTTCTTCTGCTCTCAAATTGTGGATAACGGATAAAAATGTGGATTGTGATTGGATTTAGACTGTGTACTACCACTATTACTGTCGACTTTTCTTTCTTTCTCTTGTTCGTTCTTCGAGTCCTGATAGCTTTGCATATTCTGTTGCCTGTCGTATATGTACTTTTTGGTGATTTCTTTCTTTCTTGGAACAGAAGTTGATTGATATTGAATGGCCTGTACTCATGTAGAGGATAAACAATTCCAGAGTACATTTTTCGTTCTTTTTAGCGACGTGTCTGGGCGATGTTCAAGTGGCTGCGAAATCTTGTGTAAGGTCCATCTTGTTAAAGCAAGCGTCTTACAATCAGTGTTGTATTCTAAGGGGTTATTAACCCCAAATTTTTTTCTTAAGCCTTAAGTCTTAAAAATCACCCTTAATTAAGGCTTGATTCTAAGGGGTTATTAATGGTTCAGCTAAAAATAGTAACTCAGCTTAATGTCAAGGTTTTGACTTCCATTGACTAGTTTCTTCAACTTTCTTGGGACTCCTCCACTCAATTCAATGTCTGAATAGATGTATTATTTGCAGAACCCATATCATTGGCTCAGAGCCAAAGGAGATTGAGCATACAAGGGGCCTCTAAGCATGCATCTCACCTATGCAGCTATAATACTCGACCAGAATGACCTATAAAATCAAAGTTGAAAGGTCCCTGAGATACAAATATTTGCTAGGAGATACTATCCAACAATTATTCCATCAGAGCCTCAAAATATTCCTTGACAAGGCAGTCAATTGTTGATCAATTGTATTAAGTAATGCTGATGTTAGGGGTTAATTAAGGCTTATCTTC